AGGAGAGATGCTCCAGCCCTCTAATCATCTTCATAGTCCTCCGCTGGACTCTCTGCAGTAGTGCCCTGTCTCTCTTGTCCTGGGGAGCCCAGAATTGGACCCAGTACTCCAGATGTGGCCTCCCCAGGGCTGAGTAGAGGATGACCTCCCTCGACCTGCTGGCAACACTGCCTAATGCACCCCAGGATACTACTGACCTTCTTGGCCACAAGGGCACGTGGCTGGCTGATGCTTCATGGATTCCCTTGAAGAGGCCAGAGTTAGCTCTCGTGAAGTCCAGGGTTGCGTTCCTACTTATTGCTCTGCTCTGCTCTGAGGAGGGCCTCATAGGAGCCTGAACTCCACCATCTCCTGGTCACTGCGGCCAAGGCTGCCCCCAACCTTCACATCTCCAACTAGAACTTCTTTGCTCGTTAGTACAAGGTCTAGCAGCGCACCTCTCCTCGTTGGCGTCTCCACCACCTGGGTCAAGAAATTATCATCAACGCTTTGCAGGAACCTCTGTGACTGTTTGTGTCTAGCTGTGCTGCTAATGATGCCCAGCGACAGGACAAGAGGCAACGGGCAGAAACTGAAACACAGGCAGTTCCAGCTGAACATGAGGAAGAACTTCTTTCCTGTGCGGGTGACTGAGCATTGGAACAGGTTGCCCAGAGAGGTAGTGGAGTCTGCTTCGCTGGAGATATTCAAAAGCCGCCTGGATGTGATCCTGTGCAATGTGCTGTAGAGGACCCTGCTTGAGCAGGGGGGTTAGACTAGATGGTCTCCAGAGGTCCCTTCCAGTCTTGGCGATTCTGTGATGTAATGAGATGTGTGGAAGTCCTCACAAGTATAGCTGTACAGGCTGATTTTCCCCAGGTCTGTCTTGACCTTTAGTACTCTAAGCTTTCTATTTTCTTGATTAAACTACTACTGTTATGTGAAGCCTAAGGAAAGGAGACGTGTTATTACATTGTCACAGAAGCGTAAGAGAGTCTGGCTCTCGCGGTCCGGTCTGCAGCTGTGTGTGAAGGAAGGGTCATGAATCTGCTCCATCTCCTTGCCTCTTCTAGTAGTTTGCCTTGGCAGTATTCAGCAAGGCATCCTTTACTTTCAAGAACTGGAACAGCATTTGTAATACAACCTATGATAAGCTCAGCTCCAGTAACTGAACCCAGATTTTAACTTATTAAAGAGTTGGAGTGTTCATGATTTTCATCCCTTAGGAAAATCTGATTGATCTGGAATGCCACTGATATCACTGGATGTTTTGCCAAGCTGAGGGGAGAATTAGGGCCTCCTCATCTTTTCATAACAACATTTTAAAATAGGTATTATGCTCTTACAGACACTGAGATATGCCCACTGACTGTGGAAAGAGTACAAGAATTTGCCTGAAGGCTCTTAAAAATCTATTTCTTTCAAGTATTTTCTTTCCTTTCCTGTTTTCTGTTAGCAAATATGTCCCTGCCTTTCCACAACCAATTTGCATTTTTCTACGTGGATTTTTTTTTGTTCATTTTTGAGCTTGCGTTGCCTGTTTCCATCCGACTCTTATGTATGCAGTTGTGTCAGCACGGTGCTAAACCTGAACTTAAAGTTTGGTTGTTCATTCAGTCATGGATCAAATGTAAGAAGCTGATCTATCTACCATCCTCTGCTGTGGGCCAAACTGTCCCTCCCCATCCAGCAGGGATGACTAACAGACTCATCAACTTCTGTACTGCTGCAGTTTCCAGACAGGCATATTAACATAATCAAAAATGATAGCTTAGTAGCCAACAGCTATTGCGACCTGCTATGGTTGAATAGCTGCTTTACAATAATTCGGTTGCCTCTGCCACTGAGAAACTGCTGAAGAGGGATAGGGCTGGACTGGAAAGCTGAGGAGGTGACTACTTCAGCTACCCCCGTTTAATCTGGGCATCAGTATCCTAATTTGCCCATAGTGGCTTGGTCTAAGCGCTCGCTAATGTGAGTGCGCAGCTTCCGGACGGCTTTGTGCGTGGGCAAAGGAGGCTCGTGTCTATCTATACACAGAGTGTTCCCCTTTTTCTCTCTTCTTCAGTGAACCAAAATAATCTGCTTGTTTATTTCATTAACCTCTTTCCTAGGGAAAACATTTCCACTAGGTTTATAACATCTGACCTTCCTTTTTGAACTCTGGTCATTTTATTATTATTCTTCCCTTTTGTTTATCCGGTGTTTAATCCTACCTTTTCTACTAACTTCTTTTCAAATGGTTATATTTCTCCCCTGAACTCCCTTTCAGGCCTCAAAGTTATTTGCATGTTTATATAGGGTGAGTAGATATCTATGTAAATGTACGTTGCCTTTGCCATCGTAATATGATCTTCAAAGGCTTGGACTGCAGTCACTGTGCTACATTCTTTACATCAAACATTTCTCCTAGTAAACTGCTGCCAGCAGAATGCTGTAAGGACCCAATCCTGCTAATTGCCTTCTATTCCCATTGAACTAATGTGTCTTGTACGCATAAGCCTCAACTGTACTTTTGAGTTAGCTGTGTGGTCCCTACATGCTTGTGTTTATAGTCTACAATTTTGTCCTTTCTTTAGAGATGTAATTCTAAAGTGATAATCGGTTTTTAACTTTTAGTGAGCATTTGGTGTGCATTAAAATATGGTAATGATGGTAATGATGGAGGAGAGTTTGCTAGATTCCAGCCCGACATGCGAGCAAAATGATTTAGGAGAGGCTCAACCTTGATAAAGGAGAAGACTGGGTCAATTTTTCAGTCCTTCTTGGTGATAAGTGATAGACTCTGATTCCCACAGCCCTCAGTGGTTCCTGAGTTCTAGGCACCACTGCCTGTGCAGTGCTGTGATATTGGCAGTATGAGAGTGTTGTCCTGCTCTCTGTCCCTGTTGCCTGTTGTGCATCTGCCTCCCTCCCTCTCTCCCTAGAGTTCAGGATGTAGTAGTTAAATGAATGTTCTCCTCCAGGAGATTGCCCTTGTCAACAGCACCTTTCCCTCATCAGCAGACCTGCTCAGCAGGGGTGGGGTGGTGGGATGAAGACTGAAGTTGGGAGATATGGTGGGGAAGATGGTTCCATGCTCTAGGGCTATGGAGAAAGGGAGGTCTGGGAGGGACACTTGCTGGGAGAGGGGATCCTACATGTTGTGAAGAAGGAGGTGGGAAAGAGGGAATCAGTACTGTACAGCATCAACTTACATTGCAACCTCCGCCACAGTGTGGTCTCCTCAATGGAGAAGGCCTGCACCCCCATGATAGCAGATCAGAACGTTAATGAAGAAGAGAACACACGCACACACGTGATCCTATTGCAGCTGTCTCTGGTTCCATGGTCCAAATACTTTTAGGTCTTGATACTGTGGAAGATGGAAATGGTATTTCCCACTATTCTGCTAGTAACAATCCTGGTGTTTGTATCAGAAATTGTGCACTGGGAGTTGCTCAGGCTCCAGGTCCGCTAGGTGCTTGCTTGCTTAGAGTGTGACATTATAGTTGGAAAAACTGAGAGAGGTGAACAGTGGCACAAGCAGAGGAATGAGCTTGGGGAGGGCAGATGGTTTGTAAGCCACTTTTGCTGGAAAAGTGTATTACAGAGCTACAGCCTTACAAATATACTAGCTGTTCTTCAGAGGATGCTAATGGGTATAGACATAAGTGGTACTCTCTGTTTGCCATAGGAGTTAGAAGTGAAGCCAGTAATATCGAAATGTCGAAAAAGTGTAGACTGCTGTAACCAAGAGGGGTAGGTGTTCTCTAAATCCAGCTTTGTATAATCAACTGGTTCTTCAGTTCTTTCCCGCCTGAATGCAGAGCTCCAAGCATTCCATTTGTTTAGCAGCAAAAAGCAAAATTGTACAGCAGTCTAGAAGCTGCCATGAAGGATTTCTGAATGCCCCCTTTTTTCCCCCTTCCCAATGACACAGAAAACGATGTCAAAAGGTAAAAAAAAAAAAAAAAACCAAAAAAAAACAAAAAACAAAGGAGGCAGCCTTGAAGAATCCTGTCATGAGGATAACTTAGCACTTATGTTATTGTGGAGCGTTGAGACTGAGCTCTGAAATAGTTGCATGTTTTACTCAACAAGCCAAGAATGCTGTAGCCAGTTGCAAGAATGGAGAGAATTTCAGTAAGGAAAGAGTATGTTTATTATCCACATAAGAGGATCACAGTCAGTGCTGCACTTGGTGTGTTTTTGTGTCAGCTGTTGGAATTAAAGCAAAGCAAGAAAAGTGCTATCCCAGGATAGTGTGCGTGCGTAACTTGCAGCTGAGTAGATCTAAATGGTTAAAAAGGGGTTCTCTGCTAGAGAGGAGGAGGGGAGAGCATGAGTGCATTCCCAAAAAAGTACATTCCCAAAATAAAAAGCTTACATCATGGACCTCTTCAGCTTTCCCACACTTCTTTCCTAATTATTGTCCTGCAGGACAGCTGATCTATTTCAAACAGGAAGCTGTTTACAGATAACACTTGCAACTGTTTTGTCTGATTTGTTGAACTGTCGAAAAGCAAAAGGGAACCTCTTTTCAAATTAAAAACTGTCAGACTTCTGTAAACAGCAGCAATGAGGTTCATCTGTGCAGTGTCCCTGCAGGCACAGTGTGTTCTGCAGTTCCCATTTTCTCAGCAACCATAAGGTAAGAGAGACTTTTTTACTTTCACTGTTCAGAAACTTGCAAAGAGAAGTAAATCCGGGTATTTGTTAGGGGGCTGTCTTGTATGTGGCAAAATATGATTGACAATTGCTGCAGAGTAAGGGAAGGTAAGGAAAATAACCACTCACTTATTTTAGGAGACAGTGTTGGACCTTTCTGCTTAGAAGGACTCATGTGGGTTAGATCACAGAATTCCTATTCAGTGCGGGATTTGTATTGAAACTGTAGAAATGCTATTGGAAGTGCTCTTTGCTTTGATCAAGAATGGATAAGACAGTATATGAATTTAAATGTTCATACAACTGAAACATATTGCAGTTCATTAGTGGGTTGTGGTTCCTGGTAACGGATAACGAGTATCTCAGTTTAATTTTGGAAATGCTAAGTGCTTTTCTCCATTCCTCTACTTCTGTTCCTGAGCAGCTGGCTGTTTTCTGTTGTAAAGGTGAGCTTCTAATACAGCTGCAAACCAAGGAGTGAAGATGAAATTGCAGAAGTGAAGCAGATGACAGAAGATCCACTAAGGGCTTAGAATTACACCTTGGGTAACTAAGAGTAAACTAAGTGAAAACCAAATGAAGTTGCAAGTAGTAGTAAACAGGAATGTTTAGTGAAAATTAAAGATATGTAAAGATAATAAAATCTTGGTCCAAATGAGCTGGGATATGAGAGTAAGCCATACTTCACTAATCAGATGGCCAGATGCCTGCTTTTCAGACATAGGTTATGAAAAAAATGAGATTCATACAGGGACTTGTGCATTTCTGTTCTGACCTCTGTGTGTACATACATGTGTGCTCAATATTTGCAATGAAAGAAGGGGGACTGTTTTTCAACAAAATCAAATGACTGCTGAAAAACGAAATATGTAGCCTTGGCCTTCATTTGCCACACAGTGATATAGAAAAAGCCTCTGGACTGAAAGTGCTCCAACTTTGACGCTCACCTTTTGAAAGATTTTGAAAATGTTGCAGGAAACAATTTTCCTTCTACATTTTGCTCTCAGTGGCTGAGATGTTTTGGTCTTTTGTATTTGAATATTTCATATTTACAGGCATGATCATTTAAAGGAATTGCAGAGATCAGAGCACATAAAACAAACACTGATTTAAAGTTATCATTTATCAGAATGACATTAAGATCTTTTCTTCTGTGACATCACGTTAGAAATATCCGTAAAACTTTATTAGCGCTTCTGTTGATTGCAGCATAAAGAAGGCATACAAATACAGTAGCCATGAAGCAGTACTTTCAAGTTGCCTATTCCTTTCAAGAATGTTTGGATCATCTTTCAGGAAATTGTTAGATGTACCTATTAAAATGAAATTAATGTTTTAAAGAGACATACAGTGAAGAGAATATATAAATTAAATTCATAGTCAAAATGGCATTTAATCATGGTGTGGTCCTACAGCCAGCAGCAAACTGCATTGTGGAGGCAGCAATCTGCGGTGTAATTTACAAACTGCACTTTATCTTGAGGGCTGTTCTGATTCCTGAGTCTGATTTTACATTATTTCTAAAGCTCCGTGGTAGTCAGTTTTAGGTCTGGCCAAAAAAACTCTTGAACCAGAGTTGTTTTGAAGCCTTTTGACCAAATAGTTTTTTATGAGAAGTGTCAGTTTTCCAGGATAGTTTAGTTCTTTTGTCAAAATATTTTGGCTGAAAACCAGAAGACTTTAGCCAAAAATATAGTGTCTCCTGGGAACCGTAGCTGTGCTTTGCATTGCATTTCACTGCTGGCTAGGCTTCATAACTGGACAACGTAAGGTCCTATGGTCAGGGACTTAAGAGTTTATTAATTTCCCTTGATGAGAAGGACCATTATGGTGTGTCTTGGGAAATGTAGTCCAGTGACACAGGAAAAGACTACGGTCCTAAGGAATGAACTGCAGGAGTCGATAACTAGCTGGGAGGTGGGCAGCTTCTTAAAGGTAAGACGCTTCAGTTTCGTTTGCGTGTGGGCAACATGCGTTCGCGTTTGCTAGGTGTCTTAGAAGTATGACCCTGCAAGGTCAGATGTGTCAGTAAAAGTCTTGCAAGCTTTCTAATGTTTTTATCCGCACAAAAACCTGTTGAAGGGAGAGAAGAACATTTTAAAATCTTCTTAAGACTTTGTTAACACTTCTGCCAACTTTTGTACTAAAAGTGTTCTGTTTTCTAAATTGAGAATTGAAGCTACAAGGGAGTAAGGCTGGATTTTAAGAGCAAGGTAAACTCTTAAGAAGTCAGGAGGAAAACAACCTCCTGGGTGCCTACAGCTTTAGCAAGCGGTGCTTTTGAAAATCCAGCAAGTTCTTATCTTATTCTCAGCCATCTAATTGCCTCTTAGAAAGATTTAGGCCTCAACAATTTGCCTGTAGTTGCATAAGAAGTCTGTAGGGGAGAAGTGAACTGTGGCTGATCTGCTCAAGTTCATCCCTTGACCAGTCTCTTGTTTACTGGCATGCAAGGATCCTTAGCTGCTGTGAGTATTTGGATGCTGCTTCTTCAAAACAGTACCAAGGAATCAGGTAGTAGATAATGTGTCCTGGAGGCCAAAACACAGCAGTAAACCAGATGGTGAGGAATTTTAGGGTTTACATTGGTTTCCTTCTACACTGAAAAAATCACCCGAATGAAATTTGGACATGAATAAACTGTTTCGCAATGCTGCAAGTCAGATGTTTGCCTCCACACCAAGAGTCCCCAATGCTTACATGCTGAAGCGCTCTGCTGAGTGATGGGAGGACACTGAAGGGCCTACAAAGTGACTCACAACAGCCAACAAATTGCGTAATGGCCAAGGCACCGCACTGGAAATGCTTGAGAGAGAGAGGGTTGCCTCTGTGGTCACCTCTGCTGGGTGCGGGAGCAGATGAGCATGCTGCACCACTCCTGGTGCCCCGTACCTGCGGGAATGAGGATTACAGAAGCTGGAACTGTATCTTGAATGTATGTGCCCTGTTGGTCTTTTGGGTTGGGATACTTTGAAAACTGACTTTGAAAACTGGTTTTGAGAATACAGTTTTCTACAGTTATCTTTGAAAAGTTGACTAGTGTTTACATGATACTGGCTGGGAGCACTTACCTAGGAAGCAGAAGAGCTGCAGTCAGTTCACTCCACAGCTTTTAAATCTGTATCTCCCATCTGTTGGAAAGGTGTCCTCATCACTAAGCGATATAATAATTTGAATACAGACATTTCTCTTGTTGAAGTGGAGCCACTGTACATCCAGGATTGCGTCCCCAGCTCCCAAAACACATTCTGATGTTGATACCTATTTAATAATAACAACAACAACAACAAAGGCTGTCTAAACAGTCCAGGGAAGTCTATTCCTTTAACGTGAGCATTCCTGTAAAAAACTAGTGTGCAAACAAGAAGTACCTTGCCATCATGTTTTGGAAGAGAATGGCAGTGGTTTTTGTTAACGTTTGTGTTTGTGGTGTGTTTAGAGGACAGGCTGTCTGAAAGAGCATGCACACATCTCATAAATGGGCATAAATGGGCTAGATGAGAGCCTCGTGTCTTGTTACACAGTTCAGGCAAGATGTTGACAATTTCTGGTCTGTGCAGTAAGGCACCTAAGTTTTCTGAGAAAATCGTAGATGCCTCCTGCCTGTTAGGATGGCTGAGTTGTTAGGAGGAGGTTTTAGATCATATGTTTTGGACTCAGGAAGCGGCCACAGATACAGATTCAACAGTACTGTTGTCAGTGCTGCCTTAGGTAGCTCTCGTCTGGGGGTGCTGGGGCAGGGGCTGTGGGTGAAGGAGGGAGAGCGGAGAGACAAATTGCTCTAACTGTGACTGACCGGTGGTGGTGGTAGAGCTTGGGAGTCACGCTGTACCTGTAGCCTGTGCTTGGGTTCCTGGTATCCAACTTTCTTTGCTCTCATATGTGGCTCACTGTGATTTTTGAAGCTGTTGTTAATATACACTAATTGCAGAAGCAGCATAAATAACAGCAACAAAAAAACCTACAGATAGCTCTCTTAAGACTTCTGGTTTGGTAGTTCAATGGGTTTCAGGCTTACTTGCATCCTTCCAATTTCCCTTGTGCTGGTGTTGATGATCTTAGGAAGTATTGAAACTTGCTGACAATAAGCTTGCTTTTATTTATTGTTTTTAGCGGACCCCTTTGAAATAGTCTATGGGCCTCCAAGAGACCATGGATCACAGGCTGATTAGGTCTCCATCTGCTCTAAATGCTGAGAGCGCTTTTCTCATTTCCATGCTGCGTGAGGGCTGAACAGCAAAGCCCATAGGAAGTGTGCAGCTTGGCTTCCTAAAGAACGCAGTGCGCTGAGAAACTGATAGATCGTTCACCTTCACTGAAGAAGGCACCAAAACAACTTGCATCAGCTTTAAAAGGCTTCACAAGCACTTCTTACTTGAAATGATTCTAGTACACCAAAGACTACTGATTTTATCAGAGACTTGAGGCAAGAAAGCATGGGAGTTTTATAAGGACGTTATTTAATACAAGTAGAATATTATGATTATCATCAGAGAAGGATTTAAAAGAGATTATCTAATATTTGGGATTTGAAATAAAGAGCTTTCAAAAAATAATAATTTCTGAATAATCTGGCAATGTTGGATGGTGTGATCAAAATAAAAATATCAAATGATTATAGTGAAAGCCTAGCACAAGCAGCAGCAAAAAATGTTCTATCATATAGAGGAAGAAAAATATCTTTCACTGAGTTCTCTTTTCAGAAGGGTGTTAAAGGGCAAACAGGTCTCTGAAGGCTGACTACTTAGTATACAAGAAATATTAAGGTAACAGATACTGGGAGCATGTAGTAGAGCAGAGAGAAGCACTTCTCATGTTGCTGTGAAGACTCTAGGGTGATGCATTTGTCAGCAGTGCACACAGATGCATTTGCAATATTCCTCTCTGGCTGTGCAATGAACTCGCAGCTTAAAATCAATTCAGCAATGAAGTGAGATGACATAACAAGAGCTGTGTTTTGAGCTGCAGCTAACCAACTGCTTTATCAGACGTTTACTTCCTTTGCTGTGTGACGCCTTTGCATTAGAATTACCTTTCCTGTAATTGTGGAGTGTCAAAAACTCTATAATCACTCTCTGCTTTCCTTTTTTGATTATAAGTCTTTTATACAAACCTACATAAATATGTGCACACGTAGCAATTTACAATTTCATAATTCAAAATTAGTTTAAAATCCTATATATGTAACTATTTCCTTACGTTTGCTCCATCTAAATAATGCTGAACATAATCTTGAAGATTAAATTTTTAAGAGAAAATTATAGATTTTTCAGTTCTGCATTCTCCTTTTATTTGAATTTTCACGGGCAATCCATGAAAGGACAAGGCACATTTCTTCGCAGAGTACTCGCAGATAATCTTGGCTTGTTTTGTTGAGAAATAGTGCATAGGAACCTGATTTGTCCAGTGGAGTCCCTGTGATATTCTTCCTAGGCAGAATGTGTGAATTGTTGTCAGTTTCCAAATACCTTCATGTCTCTGCATCATGTCTCCAGAATAATTCAGGTTAGACTATTTTAGTATAAACTGTCTGAGAGTCGTATGTG